AGGCAGCCCCTGTCTCCGCTCACACACAAAGGCGCAAACCCGAGCCCTGCAGCCCCGGCGAGCAGGCTCAGATCCAAGGATTCGCCCACCCCCTACCACACCATACCTGTCTGCCAGGGACCGCCCACCCCCGGGCGTGCAGCCAGCACCGCTGCTCGTCCACCTCCAAGCCCCCGGAGACGCGGCGGAGACCCGGCGGTACGCCGGTGGCAGCCCTTAATTTGGTTACATTCAAATAAAACTTTTCGTGCACCTCGGTAGCTAACATTGTGTGTGCCTTTTTTTTTTTTTTTCCTCTTACGCCGTCAAGGCAGGGGGCAGTGAGGGGAATGGAACAGCCCTCTCATTCCCGGAACGTAGTCGATCTCAACTCAGCAGATTTCACAGAACAGTCTCTGCCTATCGCCGGCTCCAACGAGAAATAACTTTCCAGGAAGCTATCGGCCCCGACGGCAGCCAGGATCGTTGCCTGTGCCGCGCTGGCCTCCGGGGATTCACCAGGGGGGTGGGGCGGGGAGCGCCCGGGGAGGCTCGCGGGGAATAGGGCACACTTTCCCCTAAATCCCTCGTCCGCGCCGGGTCCAGGGCTCTCACAGTTCGCCTAGTCCAACCTTTTCCCCACAATTTTACAAATGGGGAGAGTCAGACAAGTTAGTCGCACAGCCAGCCTAGAACCCAGGAATTTGGGTCCAATCCCACACTTATTTCATGATTTCAAGTTGCCCAATTCCAGAGTTTGTTGCCCGATGAGTCTTTTTTTCTCTCCCTTTCTCTCGTTTTGCTCCTCTACCCCGGGATTCCTTTTTTAAGGGGGTGGTTAGGCGAGGCCTCAAAGTCTAAAAGATAAGAATCCCTGGGGCTGAGGGTCTCCATCCAGCGCGCCCCAGTCGAGTTGGAGGAAAACTAAACCGAAAGCCCCTTCTGCTTACGTTGGCAAGAAGGGGAACGCAGCTCGGCTCGGTTACCGCCCAAGGTCTTTAGAGTAGGAGCTGCCAGGCTGAATTTGGCCAGATTTCGGGATTTCCGAATCCGTTTTCTCCGAAACCATAGAGAAAATTTCGGGATTAGGTAGAGGCCTGGGCGCAAAAACCCTAGCGCGCTTATAGACGCGCTCCATGGTTGCCTCGCCTTCCCGTAGCCTTCCTCGGAATTACACCCCCTGGGCGCCATCTCCTAATCGGTCTCAGTAGCCCGGCCTGAGAGGCACTTTCGGGGGCCGGGGGTGGGGAATAGAAGAGCGAAAGATGCAGCCTCTAAGGCTGCACTCCCGTCCTAAAACTGGCGAGTAGCGTCACACTACGCCGCGCCTCCAACAAGCAGCGGAGGCGGGGTCACTCTCTGGCCTCATAAAATAGCAGTTTCTCATCCCTTCGCCCGGCGGGATGAAGGTGAAAGCGAAGGCTGAAATTTAATATGGGATGGGGTGAGAATCTAGGAAGGGAAGCTAAAATTAAGTAAATGCATTTATTGGAATGGAGTCCCGTGGTTCCGGGAGTTCAAACCTAATCATGTTTTACCTCTGCCTAACACTAGAGAGAGCCCTCCATCAAGGCTTGAAACCGACAACCCTTGTCGCCCCGCCCCCTCCTTTCCATTGACCTAGTTTAGACACAGTCTCCTGATTTGGAGAATGCCTTCCGCCCTACCCCCTTCTCGATTCCGACTGGCTTTTGGATTATTGGTAATCTAACAATTCCAATAACTCATTGAGAAACCCAAAGGAGAATCTGAAAGTGCAAACCATTATTCAGGGGGCAGGGACGAAGAATTTTAATGAGACTGGAGCTGCCGCAGTGGAACCCGCATCAGGGCTCCTGCCGGAGCGCTCCCTTTCTCCGCAGCGTCTCAGCTAATGAGCTACTCGGGTCTAGCCAAGGTGGTCAGGCGGCAGGGAGATAGGGTCAAATCGCCCAGTTGTTTTTGTTCTAGGGAAGAAACACTCTTCGCGCTCTTGACTGGGGGCGGGAGAATGGGGAGACGACAGTAGATGAAAGCGAATCTGATAATGCGATGTCCCTGGCTGTCGCTTTTGGGTGACCGAGGAGGTGTTCAGGTACATTATGTCCTGACTTTCATTTCCATCATATTTCCTGCCAACAGAGGTCTTGCAAGCCTGCAAGCTTCTAGGAAATGCAATAAAATAGAGGGATGTGTTTTATCATCAAGATCTAAAGAGGAGCTGCAGAAGGGACGCTCCCCAGGCGCCCAGCTCGCGACAGCCTTCCAGAAAGGGCCGGCAGTCAAAGCCAGCAGACCGCGTCCCCGAGCACAGATATTTTGGCCATCCTGGCTGGACCGGGCTCGGCCTTTGCAAAAAGGCTGGCAGGGGAGGGGAGGGGAGAGGCATGAGCTCCCCAAGCAAACAATGCCCTTAAAAATCCGATCTGGACAGAAGTCAGCCAAGGTCTTTATTCACGTTAATGAAGATGGAAGGCACTAACTGTCCTTGGAAAGCGATGAGTCAGACTTGACCGCTCTTCAAACGCGTCCCCAGATTTGTTTCCAACCCGAACAGAGGCGCGTTTCTCCCTCAGTAGGAGAGACTGAACTCGATTCCGGCGGACCAGGGCAGTGGAAACAACGGCTTCTCCAGCGGGTGTATGAGCCTGCTGTCGCTAGGGGTCGCCAGCACGCGGACACGAGTTTGCCATCTTAAGTTTTGAGCTCCGAAAAAGAAAACTTTGCTAAGAAGCTGTTGTGGATTACATTCTGCCTGTCCAGAGGACCCAAACACAACTGACTTCTCGCCAAGCCACTAAGCAAAGTTTGGAAGGCGAAGAGAACTATTTCAGGATTCCAATGTGAGCTTCGGGAGCAGCGAGGTTCATCTCTTCAAGTCTAGGGACTGGATCTTAATCACGCCCTAACACACGCATACACAGTCCCCCACCGCCCCCACCAAGATCTGAGACCCCACCCCCCCCATCCCTTAGTACTACTGTAGTCTTTTCAAGTCTGTTACTGAAAATCTTGGGCCATACTTTTCTAAACAAATTCCTTAGGAACAGCTGGGGAACCTCTTCAAACTATGGTAACCTAAGAGGTTGAAATCATGGCTCCCTCTGATTGTGTTCCTTCCTCTTAGACACCTCAAAAGAGTGGAGATAAATTCACTTTGGACTTTAAGTCACTGACCTGGAATTCGGCAGCTTAAAATCTAGTTCCGGTTAGTTCTGGTTAACTCACTATTAACCCTCTCATCAGGTCTGTTTCCTCAACTGTGAAGAACTGTTTGTCCTAGAGCCCCTGTGGCACCCCTCCACTATCGACTTTCCTCAGGGAGAAGCCACAGCGACTGGGAGAGTGTGTTCAAAATGGGGTAATACTTGGTTCTCTTAGCAGATGCAGATGCCCGTCGCTGGGCGACTGTGGTTGGGGCAATCATCCGGAAACTTTCTAATTTTCATCCATTCATTGGAGGTCGGATGTCATCCTCATCGGAGGGTGTCCTCCCCCTGTCAGTCCTAGCACCTGTTTGAGATACTTGGGGACCCGAAGGTGACGCGGTCGGCCGACTGCCCAAAGCGGTGAACTAAGTCAGAGTCTACCACTAGGTGGCAGACTCTGTCCGAAAATCACCGCGCGACCACAGCTTTCCACACCCGACTGCCCCCCACTTTTTTTTCCCCTATTAGGGGGAGGGGGTTGCCTCCATAGGGCAAAACTGGAAAACATTTAATTTACTGGGTCTTCTTTCCCATGCTCACGCCTCTAGCGATCACAGCGCGGTAACTGGAGCTGCGTTCAGGTATTATATGTTGATTTTTCCAGTCCGAAATGCTGAATGTAATGGGAAGAGAAAGGGTGCACTTGTCTTCAACAAGCAGAATGGTACTCGACAGTATTAGCAGAGCTTCCTGCCAAATACTGGTCAACCAGCGAAAAAGTCAGGAATAAACTTCTGATTCCCACGGAGAAAAGGGGCCCTAGAGGCCAAGGGCAGGAGAGTCCCATCCAGGCTTACTGCGCACCGCTAAGCCGAAGATGGGGGAGTGGGGACGAATATGGTCTTTTGGTCCATATCCACGAATATGGCTGTTGATCTCGGACTGGGAGGCGGGAAAGGTTAGGAGGAGCCGTTTCTGGCTTCCAGTGGGGCGAAGAGAAACCAGCCAGCTTTCCCACAACACAGCACCCTCGCTCGGATCACTACGGCGGCTTTCCCACTTGTTGCGCAGTGCAGGAAACCGGCACGCGCCACACTACTCTGACTCCCAGAGGGCTCCAAACCCGGCTAGAGACCAGCCTACCATTGCCCCAGTCCATCCACAAACCTCCCTCCCCAACCCATCCCCCGATATACACCACCAGCATCGCTGGCAAAACGACAGGACTTCCAGTCACTATGCTTTTTAACACCAAAACATTCCTCTTTATCTTAGTATCAGCCAGGCAGCAGAATTCAGGTGCCCTGAGAAGTCAAGTCCAATAGGGAAGGAGGGCTACTACCACCGCCTGGAAAACTCGCCTACTTAAAGACAACCAGCAACCTTCCCCTGCGCGCGGGCGCACATGCAGACACACAGACACACACACACTCGAACTACTTTGCCTGTGACACCATCCTAACTGGAAAGCAGCCTTTTCCCCTCTTTTTGAGACCAACTGCAAAATCTTTTTTTAAAGTTAGTTTTATCAATCCTCTTTCTAAAGAAAGAAAAAAATCCTCATAAGGTCATTTCACAATATTTTTCAAATATTTGACTTTTGCAACTAGTTTCACCCACCGAGGGGTGGCGCTGCCGCACCACCTCCTCTGAATCAATTTTTTTCACAACAAAGTGGGTTGTGAGTGTGGCTACCCGGCAGTGGAGAGGGAAGGAAGAATTTTGACATCTAGTCATGGCTACCATTTACTCAACCAATAACTGGAACTCTTTAAGGCTCAGCAAACGACAACTTAAGAGTTTTGAGTCCCATCCCTGTCCACCAAACCCAGAATAAAAATTGAACAGTCTTTTTTTAAGAAAACAAGGGGCAGAACCCTTCAAAATTGAGTACAGAAGAAATCGCTAATTGGAGAATTCCCACTTCTTCTAGCTATCTTCTTCACATTGTCCAGTTTTTACAAACAGCTTCTAGCTTTATGGCCACTATCAACAGATCTTTAAGCAATTAGTTAATGCTTGGGCCTGCAGTATTGGAAAAGTCTTCCAAATAGGATATTGGAAACTTCTATTTATAAATGGGGGGAAGGGGGGATATTTCCCATCTTGAGGTTTCTATTTTGGCCTGAAGACTCAACTGTAGTCATTTTAGCAAGGGGATGCCCGTCTCCTGGTACTCCCTTTCCATTTCCTCCTCCCTCAGAGACAAATATCTTTTCTCCTTAAAAAAAAAAAAGCATATATTTAAAAGTGAGAATGTGATTTCACCTCGTTCCTTTGAGCTCATGTTTGCTACCTCCAGGAATAGCATGTGGACTAGGGCCAGATGAACTTCAACTTGGGCTGCAGATTTACGAGGTTCTGTTCCAGTGCCAAAGGCTCTTGGTAGTAAATAGTGAGCAAAATAGATACCTGTCTCCTGACAGATCTTACCAGTCCCCCCTCTTATTTTCTTTTTAAGTTATTTATTAAAACCACACACACCTTGCAAAGAAAAAGGGAAACTGGCAGTCTCTGTAGAGGAAGCCGGTGGCATCGCTCAGAGCCACAAACTGTATTTCTAAACAGCCCTTTCCCTGGTTCCTTCTCTCCTGCCCCACTTTCTTTTTTTTTTTCTGGACAGTAAAAACAAAAAAAAGCATATAAGCATATACTGACATTAAAAAAAAAAGTAAAAGCATTACAAGACTTTCCTTTGGAAACTAAACTGATTTTTTTGAAAATCCATAAAGGACTTAATCAGTTTCCTGAGGGGGATGACCAGCTCACTAAGGAGGTCAGGGACCCAGTAACAGCCCTGGACTTTGAGTACCCAGTTTGGGGTCATTCCCTCTGCTCAGCTGTCAGGACCCCTACCACCAAGTCAAACATTCCAAGAAAGGGCACAGTATAAAAGGAGTCTTTTTCATTCCTTTTTTTTTTCTTTTTTAATCTTTAAGGTGTGTTCTTGTTTTCCATGGGGTAGCTTTTAAAACTCATTATTGCAACGCGAGTTCCATTTTTGGCCAGAGTTCCAATAACACGGCATCATAAAGGCAATGCAATCCACAGTTCTCAAGACATTTACCACGGTCACTACATCCGGCAGCGGGGTGGCCCCTCGCTCCCGCTGCTCCCTACCGCAGCCGATTTCCGAGGCTCCAACTCCTTACCCGCTCCCGCCCCGGGCCGCCGCCGCCGCCGCCTTCCCCCATTCTTACTCCCTCGAGGAGAGCCACAGGTTGCAAATCCAACCAACCTCGCAATCCGTTTTTGCAAAATCACTCACAAAGATCTCCCGTTCCCGCCCGCGCCCCCTCCTCCCGCGCCGGGTCCCCCAGCCAGGGCCACAAAGTGCCCTTCTCTCCTCCCGGGTCTTGCACGCAGGAACGCGGGCTGGGGCTGTTTGTTTTTCCCCTCGCCCAGTGCAAGGACCTCGGGAACCTGAAGCCTGACGCCGGCTACTCTCTGGCCCGCAGGGTTTTTAAAAATTTATTTGCCTGTTTTTACAAAGCTTGCACCATGGGAAAAATAAAATTTAGGAAAGCTGGGGGAACAGCCATTGGGAGCTAACACCGAGTCACGCAGCGCCCAAAATACAAACACCGCGACCGCCAGAAATCCCGCCACCTTCCCGCTTGGCTGGGCCGTCCTGTGAAGGTTCCCGGAATCCCCGCACGCTGAACAGCACCGCAGGTGCAAACGCGCACCCCTCTCCCACCCCACCCCCCCAAATCCCCGTCCCGCCACCAGCCTCTCTCCCCAGGATGGGGAGAGGGAACGCGCGGGGGTTCCCAACTCCGTCGACTGCAACCAAGAAAGAATAATTTTCAAAGTATTCAACATCCCCGCCCCCAGGCAAAGCTGAGCCTCTCCCAAAACACAGGGGAAGGGGACACCAGAACAGTCGGATCTCGTTAGGAAGATCACGGCTCTGAAAGGAAATAGTAGAACCGACACTTCATCTGGGTTTACGGGGAAAAACAAAAACAAAAAACCGAGGAGTTCGCCTGCATTTTTCCTCCCAAATCTCGGCTCGGGGGTAGGGAATCTAGAGGACCGAGGCCAGTAGAAGGGAGCCAGCGGGGCGAGCGAGCGGGCAGCCTCCCTCCTCGCCTCTCGGAGTTACCAAGAAGGACGGCAGAGGGGAAGGAAGCAGAGGAGGGAGGGAGGGAGGGAAGGGGAGGCTGGAGCGAGGGAGCAAGGAAAGCAGTTTGCAAGCGAGAAAAGAGGGAAAAAACACAGCCGCACGAATCCAGCCAGATCACAAGCCGTACGCAAGCAGCAGCAGAAAAAGCGAGAGCGCGAGCGCGCGTCCTCTCCGCCGTCTGGGGCCAGACAGCCCCCAGACTTGCCCGAATCACCCCCCAAGCACTGTCTCGTCCTCTCTGCACCGGCCACCCCCTAATTCCCCTCCTTCCTCTCCTCCACCTCCTTTTCAAAAACCAAAACAACACAAGGGAGGGCGGCAAAAGCCTCCCCAAACCGGCCGATTCACTCAAAGACAACAAGAATAAAATAATAAATATATAAAAATCTATATCCTAGAGTGGGAGAGACGTGGGACTAATCTTCGGCATTTATTTTAACACCTGACAGCTACAATAAATAAATATATACATTTACATCAATAGATACACATAGGAAACTTGGAGCCAAAGCATTTGGCAAGAGCGGAAAAAAAAAGAATTAAAAGGTAAAATAATGATCATGAGCAGCGGCGGCGGCAGCGGCACCAGCGGCAACAGCGGCGGCGGCGGCAGCAGCAGCAGCGGCGGCAGCAACAGCAATAATCACCTGGTGTCCGGCCTTTCCTAGAAACTTCTTGCATCACCACTTCTAAGAACCCCAGTTCTAAGAATCAACAGAGCTCAATTCTCGGAATTTGAGCTGCGGACTTTACCACTGCTACGTGGCAGGGGAGGACTCGGTGTCAGCTCTCTGCCACCTTTGCCTCTCCTCGCCCATAAAAAGCCCTCAAAGCCACGGCGTTTTCCCACTACCTGGCATATTGCTAGGTCCTCATGGCCTTGGCGTCTAGGGTTTGGAGGTTTAGATGCGAGGCTCCGGGCGCCAGACGGTGGCTCTCCCTCCCCGGGCCCGGGACGATGGTACGGTCTGCTCCGCCACCGTCACGTGGGCGCCCCCTCTGTGACGTCGGCGTCTTCGCTGTAGCAAAGCTCGGCCTCTGGAATTCTGAGAACTAATTTGCTATTCGGTGACATAAGAGGGGGAGTGCGCTTTGCTTTCCCGGGGTCTGGGGCTAATTCCTCCTCTCTTCCCCATGAACTCAGCTCCTCGAGCTCAATACACAAAAGGGAGCGACAAGGTCGAGCCGTTGGAAAAAGTCTGTTATATATAGTAGGTTTCGAGGCGAGTAAGAGAAAAAACAATAAACACCACAGCTCTCTCCAGCTAGAAATATTAGGCACCACGAGAAAAATATTTGCCAAGCAGTTTTTCGGTGGGTTCATTTGCTTTATTTTTATTTGGGACAGTTTTTTTTCCTGGTTGGTGTAGTGGCTTGGGATTTGGGGTTGTATTTTGATTGTTTTCGGATTTTTGCTTCTGATTTTCGCCTTTTGCAACTTTGTGATGTTACGTAAATCGTAGGATCCCGCATCGGTTGGATTTTGTTTTGAGTGTTTCTTTTTTTCCCCTGTCTAATCTCTGAAGCGCTTTAAAGAAGATGTGTTATTTTAATACTGATTCTATTGAAAGAAGCTTAGATTTTTGGTCGTATGTAGCAATCCCAACCCCCACTTTTGGGGAGGGGTGCAATTTTCTTTTTCCCCTTGGACTTTTACTAAGAGAAGGCTCTCCTTCCCTTGAGAAACATGTTCAAAGGATTTGTTTTGTTTTGGTTTGTTTCTTTCCAGGACAGCAAGTGGTGGATTTACTCTTTCTGTTATTGTTGACTCTTAGGAAATTTCTTGCTGCAAGAAACGTTGTGTGTATGTGGGTTTGTGTACGCGTGTGTTCTACAGAATTCTGTGAGCTAAATACGTGTTTGTGTTTTGCTTTTTCTTAAGGTTTTGATTCACCCCCCCCCTCCTCCCAGCTCGTTTCAAGGTCGCTGTAAAAAATCTCTCCTGTCTGTGTTTAAAGAGATCAGCCGGAGGGAATTCTAAAGGCCTGGCATGCCAGTATCACAGATACTGCGTGTATTTAGAACAGACTGTGCTACAACTACAAGGCGCTGCACGCAGCACAGTCCTCTTAGCGTTAGAGCTGAGTTAGGAGGAGGAGGAAAAGGGGCGAATCTTTCTTTCTTTCTTTCTTCCTTCCTTCCTTCCTTCCTTTCTTTTTAAAGGCAAATGCAGTGCAGAATCATTTCACTGTGGGCCTTGGTTTGTTTATTCAGAACTGCCAGTTTCCCTATTTAAATGTTGGTTGGGGTTTTTTCCCCTCCTACTCATCCCTGAATAAGGGAGACTCTTGTTTCTTTTATGTCTCTCTCTTAAAAGAAGGGTGTGAGGGGAAAATAATATTTCAGATTCCTCAAGTATTAACCCAAAATGTTTGGACCAGAAGCAGCTTTCAAAGGTCAGGCTGTTCTGGGCCTTGGCTATGAGAGTCCTTCAGGCGACTCATTAAATTACAGACCAGTTCTTAAGGTTCCACAAAATTTCTGCACGTGTTAATTTCCAATAATGATATCTTCCCAAATAATCTACCTCTCCTAACCCCACAATTGGGTTTTTAGTGGAGAAGTGAGCAGAGCTATGAAAGATTGCTGGCTGTTTCCTGGGAAATTTGGGATCTCTTTCTCGGAAGAAGTCCTTAAGAAGTTCAGATCTATCGCTGAAAATGTTGTTTTCCATGCAGCCCCACTTTTGAAAAAGCTGTTTTGAGGCTTTCAGAATCAGGAGGGATCCAAAGGGGCTGATTACTTTCCACGAGGGCTGGAGCTTAGGAAATATGCGTAAGTATCTGTCCCTGGGAAATCTGAATATTTTAATACTTATTGACAGATGGATTACTGCAGCCTTTGCAGAAAAAGCCTGTCTTGTGAAGGGTTTTTGAAAAATATACATAGGCCTAATCCTGTCACTGTTGTCGGAGTGAGCATTTTACCCCCAAAGAGGCATGGTATCGTCAAGTGCAGGTTTGTTTTGCCAGAAGGCAGACTATCTGGGGTTTTTTTTTTTGTCTTCTTCTCCCTCATTTTCAAAGAGTTGTAAAGGAATCCCACTGGATTCAAAATGACACCCCAATTTTGCTGAAGTGATCTTCTTTGTGTATGTGTTTGATAATTTTTCTTTTACGTGTAATAAGAACTTTAGGGTTTCTCAGGTGTATCTATGTGGTTTGGGATGTGAATTGTATGGCTCTGCTCTATTATTGATTCTACAGCGAGATCACTTTTGTAATTTTGGGTCACCTATTTGTCAAAGTTGCCATTCTACCTCATTGTCTCCTCCCTCCTCAAACACACAACTTGTCCCTCCTATGTTCTCTTTGCCACTCCAATCTTAGCCCCATGGGGGCGCTGCAGAGCAAAGGGAAATCTCCCTCTGGCAGGAGAACCAACCAGAGTGGGGGCTGGGAATGAATTCACCCTTCTGGTACCTCAGCCCCGTTTAAGTCTCTTCAGGGAGCCCTTTGAGGGCGACCCCATCCAGGTCTGCTTTATAGAGAATTAGTCCCACTACCAGGGACCTCAGACCTTCTCAGAACATTATTTCTGGGGCCAAGTGCCAGAGTCCCACATTTCTACTACTGATTTTGTTTTTTGTTTGTTTGTTTTTTGGCCAAATTAAAGTGTTCATATTGAAAGAGATTGATTAGAACAGGAGGCTTTTAGAAGAAAATAAAATTGAAACTATTCAAAAGATAAAGACTTACTTTTAGGTGGGTGCCTTTCTCTCTACTGAATGAATAGTGAGG